TTGTAAATATAAGCTATGGGGTGATCATGGATTAAAAAAACATAAAAAAATTTGTGGGAAACATAAATTAGGAAGACCTGTAATGTTTGAACACGGTGATGACGACTTTATATATTTTAAAAATTTTAAAAGAACTCAACGAATACCTATAGTAATTTATTCCGATTTCGAATGCTATTTAAAACCCTCATTAATCAATCAAGACATTAAAATTAAAACAGTGATAACTCAAAAACATAAACCAATGAGCTATGCATTTTACGTGAAAATAGATTATAACATTATACCTAAACATTTAATAATAAAATATAAAATTCCTACGAAACTTCCCTCGTAGCACAAGATGTCCTTAAGGATTACATACGGAGTCCTCATCGGGAGAGTAAGGACTCCCCATGGATTCCCATGACTGTCCCTACAGTCTTTGAATGCTTGCCACGAGGATACCAATTCAGGAGTCCTCCATGGGATATCTGTTGGATTCCTGGGGAGTCCTTCGTGGGATAGCTGTAGGACTCCTACAAAGGATGCATAAAGGAATCCTTTAAAGGGAGCACATAATAGCAATATTGAAATTGTAATTTGTGTTTTGTGCATTAATTGTGATACAACGTAAAATACTATACTAAATAGTAAATACCTACAACATTATGACACTACCTACTTTTTTATCAACTCTATAATGTATTGTAATGTATTAACATTAAATTAAATATTTTTAGTTTGAAGAACAATATTAAATTAAAACAATTAAAAATATATATTTGTTAAGACTTAAATTGTTTAATATACAATGAATAAACAATTATATTAAAACAATTTTGTTTTTACACCAATTTTTTTTTTAATCTCTCTTTTGAGTGGCGTAAGTAGCTTGTTACTTGTATATTTATTGCATCTGGAGTGGTGGATGGAAATTTTTTTTGAACAGTATCTGTAAAATATAATAATATGTATAAATATTTGATGTTAATAAACTATAATACAATCACATTCACATGATATATTATTAAGACTTCAATTTAATTATAAGTAGGGCTAGGGACTTCATGCCCTATAAAACCTTAAAATATGCATGCATTTATGCACTTAAAAATGATCATATATGCTCTTAAAATATGCTCTTAAAATTTTTTAATTTTCGAAAAAAACATTAAAATATTACAATCTTATATAGTTATATATTATTAATTATTATTTTGATCATATATGCTCTTAAAATATGCTCTTAAAATTTTTCAATTNAAAAAAAACAAACATTTCAAATATAAATGCATATTTAATATTTTTATAAATCTTACCCAAATGAATTGCATTGTGTCACTAAAATTTTTCTTATATTTTCAAAAGTGAATGAGCGGCGATTGTTCGCCAATAAATTTTTGTATCTCGAAAACGAACGCTCGACATCAACAGAAGTAACTGGGGCGAATTTATAGTACTTTAAGTCGTTTACATTTAAGTCTTCAAGATTTTCCAAAGAATTGTCTATGCCTTCTAAAATATTTGAAATTTGTTCAATAATTTCTTATCCTTTATTTTTTGATAGTACATTTTCTAATTTTTTGTAAATAGCTTTTCCTTTTTCTCCTTGCGGACTTTGCAGTTTTTCTTTAACAATTTTGACGATGGAAATAGACTCAGAAAGCATCATGTTTTGTTTTTCCAAACGTGTAATATAAGTTGAAAGAAAACTATAGTTTGAAGAAATAAATGCTAAGTTTGCTTTCAAATTTGGGTTGTTAAAAATATCTTTAGCTTTCTTGATGCTGCTTGCGTCATTTTCATCTAACTTGTTTATTATATTTTTTATGACTTCATAATTTTCACAATAATAATTAGCTGCATCCAACCATGTTCCCCAACGAGTTAAAATGGGCTGTGGTGGCATTGGGATGTCAGGAGCTTCATTTTTAAATATACGAGATCGAGTTGGTGCTTTCAAAAAGACTTTTTTTACACTAGATATAAGTTGGTCAACTATGTTAAAATATGAACGTACTTCTTCGGCCACACGATGAAATCCATGTACTATACATGTAACATGAATCATCTTTGAGTAAAGTGCTTGAATTGCTTTTCCCGATTTCACCATATACGGCGCAGCGTCAGACAAAAATAACAAAACGTTATCATGATGTACGCCTTGTGGCCATAATAAATTCATAGATTTATCAAAAAGTTTAAAAATAGTTTGATGGTTTGCCTTTTCTAATTCTTCTGTATTTAACAAAAAAATCTCACCTGGTCCGTCAGTACGTAAAACTCCTATAATAACATTGGCTACGAAGCGGCCTTCGACGTCGGTCGTCTCGTAAATAGATACCCATATTTTGTTATTTGATACGCGATTTCGTATTTTTTTAATAAAATATGTGAAATATGCACTTAAAATATAAATATAACAAAATATGCTCTTATAGGGAAAAAACAGCTGAATATGCAAAATATGCAAAATAAAAATGATTGCTTTAAACTCCTAGTACAATGAAACAAATTTCTATATCACTTGGCTATGTTTAGAATGATTATTCACAAATATGCAAACTCCTATAAGTCCCTAGCCCTAAATTTATAAGTTATAACACTTATACAAAAACCTGGTGGTATAAAAACTAATGAAATTCTACTCATTCTAGTAACCAGTAGGCATGATACATTTATACAGAAATGCAAGATTCATCATTTAAAATATGTTAAATTTGATTTAGTTTTCAACTCTAAAAATAACTCTTAAATAATTGGGATTTAAAAGTTAGTGGTACCTGATGACTGATATTACTGAAAATATATTGTAAATTAAATAGAGTACCTAGTATAGTAATTCTGTGAAATTATCTATGCTGCACTAATTGATCCCGTGTTTCAAAAAAACCACATGATTTTTGTAAAAAAAATTAAGTTGGTAATTCTTTTCAACTTTTAACAAAAACATATGTATATATATTTTAAATTAATAAGTGTTTAATTTTACAATAAATAAAAAAAAAACAGAATTTGATTGTCTACACACAGATGATATATCAATAATAGTAAATCCTTGTGGGACACCCTATACAACATTGTTTAAATTATAAAAATTATGGTATAAATTATATAACTACTGACTAGATTAAATATTACAACCAACATTACTTGCCTAAAATACATTGATATAGGTATAGTTTGACAAAGCCAATTTTCTTTTTATCTGTGTTATTTCTTTTTTTTCCAGTGAAATTAATTTCGCAGCCCAACTCATCAGTTATAGAGTGTTCCAAAATTCTTCTCAATAGTACCGTGTAATCTTGCCCGCCGTAATTATTGTATTGAGAACACTGTAGGTACATAAAATAAAAATCATGTTATATAATATTATTAGAAGCAATCAAACTTTTATAATATTGTCATAAGAGCTTGCAATTAAACTTATAAATAAAATCACTAAATCTTACTAGGTTTCGAACAAAAGTTTTATCTTTCAACTCATTTTCTAGTTCTTTTAATTGATTTTCATTAGCACATGGCAATAACTTTTTGTACTTTGAAGAAAAAGTTGAGTCTTCTTCTTGGTGGTTTATCATTGTTGCTCTGCTCTCGAGAAGTTCATCAAGTTTGCTAATTATGTTAGCTTGGCCACGCAAAAGTGCTTGAAAATATTCTGAAGAGTGAAAATCAAAGCACAATTAATATTAATTGAAACAATACATTAATTTATTTATAAATTATTAAATTAAATTAACCATAATTTAAAAAAATACTAATTTTAGATGTACATACTAGTGTTTTGATCAATGTGTTTAGTTGAAGTCCCTTTATGATGGATATTTGAACAATTTGTGATTCATGTAATAAATTATAAAAACAATAATACATTTGGGTTATTAAAATAAAATTTAAGTCTTATAATTTTACCAGTTGCTCCACCACTGAGAATGTTATATTGAGTTGATGAAGGAAGTTTTTTAAATACTGGTGATTGATGAAACATTTCAGGACTTACACCTAATTGACAATAAAGTAATGGTATTAAAATTAAATGTAACAATTTTACATCAATTATTATAATTTACTCTGTTGGTCATTATTAACCTCCTTGTCTGAAGCTACAGCATTTTTATATGGACTAACAATGTAATTACTAATCCTTGGTCCTAACACAAAACATTAAAATATTAATTATCACTACCAGGTATAATCTAAATCATAGGAAAAAAGTATTCATAAATATAAATTTACCAAAGTTGTTATCATTTATTGCATCAAAATAATTTGGAGAGCTTGATGAGTGTCTGCCATGAGTTAGAGGAGAATATTGGGTGAATATAAGATCTGAATATAAAATAAAATAATAAAATAAGTTTTAAAGAATTTATGTGTTAAATATGTGTTACCTTGACTATTATCATCATCTTTTAGTAATCCAGTTGGAGATTTAGCTTTTTGATTGAAAATCAGTTCTGTATCTAGAATTATACAATGCAAAAATTAAAATAAATGTCTAAAAAACGTGTGTTAACTTTTACCTTGACTATCATCATCTTTTAGTAATCCAGTTGGAGATTTAGCTTTTTTATTGAAAATCAGTTCAGCATCTAGAATTATACAATACAAAAATTAAAATAAATGTCTAAAAAACGTGTGTTAACATTTACCTTGACTATCATCATCTTTTAGTAATTCAGTTGGAGATTTAGCTTTTTGACTGTAAATCAGTTCTGTATCTAGAATAATATAATGCAAAAATTAAAGTGTCTAAAAAACGTGTATTACAATTTACCTTGACTATCATCATCATCTGTTAGTAATCTAGTCTGAGATTTAGTTTTTTGATAGACAAACAGTTCTGAATCTAGAAAAATATAATTTATGAAGTACAATTAATACCTATATGTTAGGGAAACTTACAAGTTATTAAAGCTATTACAATGACTAAAATTATTTTCATTTAAGAATTTAGTTTGTGATTCATATTTTTGAGATTCAGAAGTAAATTTAATGGGTATAAAATCTGAACCTATTATAATTCATAAAAATAATTATTTTATCTAAATAAATAACTCATCCAATATTTGAATTTACCGAAACAATCAACATTTTTCTTAAATAATTTCTTTTTTGATTTCACTTCTGTAGAGCAACTCTGATCAAAAGAAGATACTGAAAAACATAGTTATTTAATTAAAATAATGTAAATTAAACTGTATAATAATAATAATACATAATACATCAAACAAAATTATGTATAATTTACAAATAATTGTAGTCAAAAAGTTTAAAAAAAAAACTTGCCTTCATTAGAAGTTATTTCAGGAAACAATTTTCTTTTATGATCTAGGCAATAAAAATTGTTATTACTTTATATATATATATATATATAACAAATAAACAACACTAAATAAAATATACTTAATTATTTATAAAAAGTTATTTCATTTAATGAAATAACTGAATTTTGTGGTTTTGTTTTTTCATGGCATATAGGATAAGGTGGTATATTTGTAGGAGATGACAATAATTGTTTTATTTTTGGTCTTCCCACTATAAATTAAAAATATTGTTAAAAAAAAAAAAAAAATGAAGTAAACATTGAACAAAATTGAATAATCATTCACAACTGATCAAATGTCTTGACAAATATATCACATACCTAGCCTATTATGAGGTGAACCATATTTTTCTTTTGTTTTTTTAGCTCTGATTTTCCGTGTTTTTTTTTGAGTATTTTCTGCATCTGATGTTGTAATGGAAGACAAATTGTACCGTACAATTTGATTCAGTTTCTCTAGTCCTCTCTCATAAGTAACTACAAATTAAAATAACCAAAGACATTAAACTAAACTATAAAAACATACAATTATAATATCATAATAAAAATGATTAAAAGTTTAAACTATCAGCTGTACCTACATTAATAAAGGTTATTTTTATGGAACAAATGCTCTTAACCAGCTAATGCAAACTTTTTTTTGGAACTTACATTAATTATATTAACTGTTTAAGAACAATGGTGCAATCAGAATTTGTTAATTTGACTTAATTTTGAAGTTTTTGAAATTTGCGATTTTGTGTTTTTTAACGTATACCCATCAATGTAATACCTAATTGAAGTAGGTATGAGAAGTAACATAAGTATGTTGCTAACATCTAAAGGCCACAACATTGAAACTAAGTCTGACCAACAAATTCTGATTGTACCATTGTTAAATAATAAATAGTTTAAAATACCTACCTAGATGTTCCAAAAAAAAAAAAAAAATCAAAAATTTTACATAGGATGGTTAAGTACATTTCAGCAATTTTTATTAATTTAAACAAAAATAGCATAATTACTTAATTCTTATTCTAGCATTATAGTATAAATATTATGTTATTAATTATATTAGTAACCAGTAGGTATTAATATTTAATAGTACCTATTACTTATCAGTATAAATTTAAATTTTACATACCACTTGATCCTAAAATTTTTATAACATCAACAATATCCCATGTAGATTGAGGATCGATCATATGACGGACAGCTAACTTCATTTGCTTTTCCTTCTCAATATGGTTAGGATATTTACACTTTAATTCACCATTAACTCTTCCTACCCACTTTCTTGGCAAAAGTTGAATACCATCACTGAATTCGGCAATGAAATAAATTCTAGGATGTGCAATTACATTATTCAATTATTGTCTTATTATTATTTGAAATTAAAATCAAGATTAATCGAGTACAACTGAATGCAGACTATAGCTATCACTAGCGGGTAGGTCAACAGACTATAATGACTACTTACCTTGTTTTATCAAACAACTCCATAATGGTCCGTTGAAAATTTGAAATGTCAAATGCCAATTTAATTATTATATTTAAATATAAGTTATAGGTAACTAATAAGCACCTGCCACCTATAATAAAACGTTATAAAATTACAATTTAAATTAACACTTGTTCATTAAACGGTGCGTCATTCACTCACAATATGCGACTATGGCACTATACGTCTATACTATGCGTATGCCGTATGCGAGAATATTATGCAAGAACTATTTCAAGAAAAGATAAAATATTATATTTGGTAAAACCATGGAAAGAATGGAATTATAAGCTTCCTACCATGATATATTTATTATATCATGCTTCCTAACTAAAAATATCATTGACCGGTATATAAATCACGAACTAAGATATACCAGCTATCTAGTATATCTTAGTTGGTGATATAAATATTATTAGTAAACACAAGCCAATGATATCGATCTATTAATAACCATGAATACTAAAATAACACAACAGCTGTTCTTGATAAAGGTATATTGATAATTATATAATATATAGTAATAAATGAAACGTGAAACCTTACTGGCCCATGATACTATGATAGTTTGATAAAGCATTCAATTTATCCGGTTGAAATTTGAAATAATTAGTGATTGTCGATTGTCGAAACTCGAATGTCGGTTGAACGAAGATTAATTATTGTTACGTATTTCATAGTAGATATTTCCAATTTTTTTATCGATAATTTACAATAATATTCAATAGATAATTAATGTTTGATAGGTACTTAATACTTATAGGATACTCTGTAAACTGTTTGGCAATTGTCAATTTGTATTTAAAATTTTAAGTTTATAATATAATTTTAATATATATAGGTATTATATTATAAACAAATTTGAATTATTGTTTGTTTTGAAGTTCATACCTATTTGATTTAAAAATTAAAAACTAAAATGTAAGTGCCTAAGTACTAAGTACAGATCGACGTTCTATTTCCATGTTTCTTAATATTGCATGACCATTTAAAAATAAATATATTTATAACATGTAATAATAATGTATAATAAGTCTTCTGCTTACATCCTAGGCCAAAAAAACCATTATCATTAATGACATCTGGCCATCGACGAAGATTGATTCGAAATCAATTAAATTACAATATCGCCCAGATTGAAGTAATTATCTTGATTATTAAAAATGTTAATAGTAGGTATAATTTTTTAAGTAGGTTAGTTTAGATGTAATTTAAAATAATTTTTTGGTATTATAAACCTTTAATATATTTTAATATAACCAGAAATGTATAGTATTTCAACATATTTAAATTAATATGGAATAAAAAGTATAGTTTTTTTTTATATAAATTAATTTTATTTCCATTTTTTTTCTTATATCCAATTACTGCATACAATGCTAAGATCGTATCTAATATCTTCAAAATAATGTAATGAACATAGATAACTTTGAGAAGGTTCAGTTTTCCTTTTTCATTTAACATTTTTAAGGATGATAGATTGAAAAGCTGAGATAGACATTGGAAATCATGTATCTAACTAATAACTATATAGCTGCTACCAATTATTAATTTATCTTGGACTTTTGTTATTTGTTTCAATTTTATTGTATAGTACTTGTAATTTTAAGTAATTTATTAATACACCTTTTTTATTACTGATGCTCATGTTTTAAGAAAAGTCCAAATGATACTTTTACTGAACAACACCAACTGTTTATTGAAAATGATGTCATTCATGAAGAAGTTCCGTTTTCTTTAGAGAAAGAAATAAATCAATCCAGGGAAATTAATTATACACGTGTATGTTATTATATTTCTCTTGTTTATATGTTTGAGCATATGCTTACTTGTGAGTAAAAATTATTTTTCTTTTATATATAATATGTAGGAATTAGATCAGTTTTATAATGATGCCGGAATTGAAATTGTACGACCATCTTCATCTCAACTTGCTATATTATCACCAAGTAAGAATACTTTTTGTTGTAATTTAATTTAAGTTCATTCATAATACATTTAATATATATTATAATTAAGTTTATCAAGGTCTATTATCATTGGTATAAACATTTTAATAACTCAAGAACTTTACTACTCATGAACATTTTGATTTAGATTAATAAAAAAATAAAATGTTCAAAACAGTCATCCGCTATAATATAATTTACAGTAAAATGTAAGGTTAGGTTACCTAGTACGATATATATATACATATATGTATATTGTATATATATTTAGATATTTTGGTTTTATACGTCATGTTTAATAATTTTTTTCTTTTAATTTTGACAGTAGAAATTAAATTTACTTTTAAATTTTACCTGTATATATTTTTTTTCACTTTCAGATGAATCTTTATGTTACACATCAGATATTGAACCCCAAAACGTGTCAAATATTTTCAAATTACATCTAGCATCCTGGGCTACCAAAGAAAATATTACTTTAAAAGCTATGGATGGTTTGCTGAAAATACTCAAAAGACATGGTGGTCATGATTATCTTCCTTCATCGTCGCGAACATTGTTAAAAACTCCCAGAACTACTTACATTAAATCAGTTGGAGCACAAGGTAGTTATTGGCACTATGGACTGGAATTAGGATTATTTACTTTTTTAGAGAAGTCTAAAAGTTATCATTTAGAAAATGAATCAATCAACTTAATGTTCAACATCGATGGCTTACCATTAAGTCATTCATCATACAATGAAATCTGGCCAATTTTAGGTTCAATTTTCAAAGTGAACTACGTATTTGTCATTGGCATATATCATAGTCAAGTCAAAAAGCCTACAGATATTTATGCTTACTTAGAAGATTTTATTAAAGAAGTTAATAACCTAATTCTAAATGGGTTTACATGTGAGGAAAAGAATTTGGCGGTCAGAGTACATTGTTTTTGTGCTGATGTTCCTGCTAAAGCATCTATGCTTTGTATAAAAGGACATAGTGGTTATAACAGTTGTACTAAATGCAATGTTAGAGGTTATCATAAAGAGAGACGCACATGCTTTCCAGTCATCATTGGTGAAAAACGCACAGACCAAAGTTTTAAAGAACATATTGATTATGAATACCACTCAAAAGATCAGAACGGAATATTAATACAAAGTCCTTTGGAAAACATAATTGGTTTTGGAATGGTTACAAATGTTCCTTTGGACTACCAACATCTTTTATGCTTGGGCATAGTTAAAAAATTTATAAGTATATGGTGGGCTGGGGACTTGCGCCATCGTGTTCCATTGAGGTTTAGAAAACTCGTATCCTTCAAGTTGCTTGGAATCAGAAACAATACTCCTCAAGAGTTTCAAAGAAAACCTAGGTCTCTCAAATATTATATGCAGTTTAAAGCGACAGAGTTTAGGCAAATTTTGTTATACACAGGTGTCTTTGTTTTAAAACGTTGTCTTTCTAATGAAAAGTACAATAATTTCTTAACATTACATGTTGCCATTACCATACTTTCTTCCCCATTTTTGATTACTTTTCATCTGGAATACGCTAGGAAACTAATTCATCACTTTCTGACTACATTTAAATTTATATATGGGAGCCATATGATAAGCCATAATTTTCATAGCTTACTACATTTAAGTGATGATGCAGAAAAATTTGGAATATTGGACAATTTCAGTTGCTTTAAATTTGAAAATTTTATGATGCAAACTAAAAAATTAGTCCGGAATTTTAATCGGCCTCTACAGCAAATTGCAAGAAGAATAGAAGAAGTTACCAAAAATGCAACACTTGACTTTGAATATATTACATCATGTGACAAAATAATATACAGTGGTGATAATATAAATGGACCTGTACTATCCGGTTGTGAGCCACCAGCTTATAAAAAATTAAGATTTCATAATTTTATCATTATCGCAGGGGATATAAGAAACAATTGCTGTAGTGTCAACGAAGGAAAGACTATTGTTAGAGTAGAAAATATTTTGATGTACAATAATTGTCATGTGATTATAGGCTATGAATATACAGCTCAACAAAACCTTTATTCTATCCCTGGTTTAGAATCATCAATTCTTAATATTTATGAAGTAGGATCACTTAGTGTGATTCTGAAAATGTGGCCCGTTGAAGATATTAAATGCAAATTTTATGCATATGAAACGATGAGTTCAGATGGTTCTTGGGCAGTATTTCCTATTTTACATACATGGGAAAATGAAAAACCTCTTATGTAATTTAAATTTATAAGAACTATTGATATTTACTATTTTAAATTTTGTAAACAGCATTTATTTTATCAAGAAATAAATTAAATCTGTAAATTAAAATTTCACTATTCCTACCTAAATGTATTGTTTATAAAATATAATATGTAATATAATATGGTTTCACATAAAACAAAACAGATATTGTTGTAAAAGTAATTTATTTTAGAAATATTCTAAACTGCTCTTATCATTAAAAATTATGATTTACTATTATTGAAAAGGTATATTTTTATTTTTATTAATTTATAAACTAATGGTTGGACCAATTGTATGTTTATAAACATAAAATTTTTTGAATTTAGCACTTGTTTTTAAATAAATGGATGTATATAAATTATAATATTATATATCAGTCTTGGTAAGATGATTTCTTTGTAAAAAAAAACTGACAAAAATAATTTCAAGTGGCCATTTTTACCAATTTCTATCAAATACAATAAATTATTATAGAATATTTGATGCGGTTGCCTTATAATCTCGATGTATCTAATAAAAATAGAAAAATGTTCGTTGGTAAGAGCATCAATCGAGGATGTGAAGACAGATTAGGCTTTTTTTTTTTGTTTAAATATTCGTAATTTTCAGAATGAAGTTTATATGGAAAGAAAATTTGAAAATTCGGGAAAAACTGAAAGGTGTTTTCGATGGGATTTTTCTATAGTTTTTTTTTGTTTTTAGATGGTTCCAAATGTAATATAATAATGGTATAAATTAGTATTTTACGATTCAAGGAAGGTTTAGATGATAGATAAAATCATTGAATAACAGCTATTCAAATCATCACTGCTTCTTTATTTAAGCTAGCAGCAATTATTTAAAATTAATTGTTTAAGTTTTGAACATCATTATGCACAGAATATTAAATAACGATTTTAACAAAGTTTGAACTATTATAAAAGTTGAAATTTTTTACTGACAACAAAGTGCACGGGATCAGCAACTACATTATAATATATTATTTTCATACGTAAATACTTAATATTAATGTCCAATTAATTGCTTTTTCAGGGGTTCTTTAAGAACTTGAAGAGGACTCCTATCGGTATCCTATTACCATTGGTGAAGGAGTCCTTAGTGGGACATAAATAGGACTCTATTGGACTCCTGGTTATGTGTCATTTGTTAGCTTATCTATACTCTAGACAGGGACATTCATGGGACTAAAGAGGACTCCTTGCAGTATCCTTTTTATTACCCGTTTTGGAGTCCTGAACAGGACACTAATTTCCTCTACGGTAGGAGTCCTGGTGCTACTAGGGTTCATGTGTACAGAAATCATAATGCAGCAAAACATTTCATAAAAACAATGATAGATATAGGCACAAAAGTTTATAATCTTTATCAAATAAATATACCTATGGATAAATTAACTACTGATGAAGAGAATAAATTTCAAAATGTTAAAATATGTGAATGCTGTCTCAAGTCATTTAAAAAAAATAATTTAGTCAAAGTAAGAGATCATAATCATTTTACA